AACCGATGTGACTGTAACAGAAGAAAAATCATTATTCATTTGTTATGACTACTAACCAATGTGACTACCATAGTAACTGTAACAGAAGAAAAATCATTATTCATTTGTTATGACTACTAACCAATGTGACTACCATAGTAACTGTAACAGAAGAAAAATCATTATTCATTTGTTATGACTACTAACCAATGCGACTGCCATGGTAACTGTATAAAATGCTCTAAAGTTATTTAGTTTTTAATTCATAATTAATTCATCCAGTTTAACACACACTTTTTTTTGGTTTAGCGTCACAAAATTTTAATTACAGGAATACGAGCCTTTACCTTATAAAAAACACATAAATTACTGTAATTGTCTTTATATTGTCTCGCATTTCAATTGTGATACAACCCAACTTTGGTCCTACCACCTACACACATAAAAGTATAAACTTAAAGCACTATTTGTTTAAAGAGACCTAAACCTTACCTGAAGAAATCTGAGCTGCAGTTATCTCTACATCTGTAGCACTGCAAGATTCCTCATCCTCCTGGACAATGTCCACTTTGTTTCCACTAAATACAACTGGACTATCAGTGTCAACAAAACCTGCTCTGATGTCATTTCCATTGTTACGTGGTGGACAAGATGATGGATCCTCCTTATAAATGGCAATAATCTAAACAACAAATTTGTAATAATTAGTGGAAGGTTTTCATTAAAAAATAAGTCACGAATAAATATATAATTCTGCAGAAAAAACTTTAAAGATAGTAACATGTTCATACGGTTAGGTTTTCTTCAGATTATCGTTACTTATCCAAGGTTCCTATCCTTGGTTCAAAGTAATTTTTCCAATACATTTCAGCCATTTTTCATGACACTTGATAGCTTTGCATCACCTCTTCCTCATGCTTCTCATTTTTGTACATCTTATTTAAGTGACTACATTTTAATTTAGTTGTTCACAGAGATGATTAACTGTTATTAAACCGGATAATGCATTTCATGAAGTCACATATTTTCTTAATTTTTTTCAGGACCTCTATGTTTTTCCAGGATGTGTAGGAACCCCGTAGATGTCTGGTTATACTGAAATACAGCTTCCTGCATCAAACATACACATTCAATGATATCCATTTGGCCTAATCTGTTGTTCTCAAATGGTTTTCGACTTCTTTGAGAAACTTAGGGGTCAACAATAAGTTTGAAATTCTAGCTATATAAAGTATAAAACAAGAGTTAAGCCATGTTCTAATTTAACTAGTGACAGCTTGAAAAGAAGAAAAGAAAGCATGTTTTAGAAACTAATACAAACACGTTTTTATCAATACTAAGTATTGCCAGTAATAATATTGAAGTTAATTCTGCACGTACATTTTTCTCTTGGTGATAAAATACCTCAAATTCACTGGCTAAATGCCAGGGCAATGTGGTTAGCCAAGGCAAGACAAATAGTTAAGCTCCGAGGTTGACCAATAGTTCAAGAGCCAAAAGAAGCTGGAATGCATGTTACACTTTTCTGAATACAAAACAACTTACTTGGCATGTCTACCACAGTGTTTGTTGTGTTAGGTCTGCTGAAACGTTATATTAAAAGCTAGTGTATTTGAGTGGTTTAAGAGAAGTTTGGGAATAACCGTGTCTGTTAAAGTTTGACCACTGAAACCTATTGTACCACACATTCTTAGAGCACACAAATACAGCATATTGAACAACTTATAAAAATGTATAAACTTACACGAGAATCCTGCATCTAAGAATTATTGAGATACTGTGTGACAATGTATGTATGTCATTAGTGTGTAAACAATAAAGTTCTTAACAGCTTAATCTGTATTTAGATTCTATTTAGATACATATACAAATCTAGAATAATACCACTGTCAATATCAGCCCAATCATATTTTAAACAAATCAAAACTGCGGGAGTAGCACAATTATGTCTACTTCAAACAAACACCTTCAGGGTTCACTACATTAGGACTAGTTAATAAAGTATACGTACCTAATATATATATATAAAATACACGTAACTTACCCCTCCCCCATTAACAAGAACAATTCTTGAGCAAATATCAGCAAATTAACAAAACTATTTACTGAGTGTAAATACTGTCATTAATTAAGAAACGAGCTTTGTATTTTAATATTTTCACAGCACGTTAACTTTGAAGATTATGCACGAGTTTCTAGTTACACGTGTGTGAAGGCGCCAAAAGTAGTAATACAGACAGATTCGTCATCACGGCTAATTAAACATTATAACTGTTAACTGTAAACGTTTTGGTTTGACCTTTCTTTTAAACTACTTGATATTCCATAAGTATCGATCATATAGATGTATTAAGAAAAAAAAAAACAATTTACAAGTAAGGTAAGGTAAAGTTTAATTATCAACGCGGATCGCGGCAGGTCCTTTTAAGTTGTACGTTTTATTAGCTTACAGAATCCGCCAGCTAGTGTAATCTTGTTTCCTTATTCATTATATTGTTCAGCTGCCTATTAGGCTTAACAAATTCCGACTTCCTAATCTATGTCAATTAGGTATCATTTATTTTTATACTAAGGCATAAACCGAAATACGTCAGCCGTGACCGGACGACGTTTCGAAAGCTATTTCCTTGTCATCTGTCTAAGTTGTTCACATGAGCTCCGTGAACAAAGTTATGTAACCGTAGCAGACGATCTAATATTTTAATACCTATCGGATTCCACGCTCAGATGAACGCTCATTAAAAACGGTAAAATGGAAACGAATATCAGAATCGAACCTTTAGTCGGATCGCTTGTTTATTTGAACTCGATCTTCCAAAAATCTATCCGAATTATATCGAATTTCATAACTTCATGTACGTAAGCCTATTTCTTCCGAACATCGCCAAAATACAACTTCACAGTTAATCCCTGAAGACGCAAGGTTACCTTTTGAAAAGTACTATTTCTTGTAAGGTTATTGGATCTGAAATTAGATATGTAATCCGACGTGTATTTTAAATGATATTTAAATACGACGATTAGTCCTAGCTTGTAGGATAAAAGGAATGAAGAACGAAAATTACTAACTGTATACTTTCCGTCGTATAGCTTTCTACTCAGAATAAGGTTGTGGCGGTCGGATATCAATCGTTAGTAACATATACGATCAAGTTGATAACCAACGTAATTATTTTAATTGTTATAAACTAATTAGTCTTGTATTTGATTTATGACAAAGCTATTAAGATTATCTGCCCCTGTCCCTAATTTTGAACTACTGGTCAGAAGGTAGGCAGGCAGTTGGCACCTCCCTAAGAGATTGATTGTCACCCTTATAACGCATCCATAGCTTAAAGTGCGTGTACATTTTATGGTATCGCAGGAATGCGAATCTGGCTCGCTAGTTTCGAAATCCAGAGTTCTACTACGTGGACAACTCGCGCTCCCCACTAATTAGTAAACACTAATTAAATTTAAAATAACTAATTAATGATTAGATTTAGGTGATCGTATAAAGCTTTCTGGCTATAATAGAACGATCTACTAAAATTAATTTCACCCAGCTGCACTTACGGGGTCAAATTTCTTTCAATCTCTTATCATTAAAATATTTTAATATTTACTTTTGTCAATTTTGGAATCCTTATTACAATAATAAGATTTAGAGAAAAGATTCTTATTACCAATATCAGGTGCAAACATGTAAAATATGTCATAGGAAAAACAAAACCTGTTATAAAACAAGAAAGCTGAGAATCACGAAGATATCAATAGCACCTGTTCACGATCGTCAGCAACATAATTCAGTTGATCATCAGGGTCGAGAATACCTCCGTCACTGGAGCTCTTCAATTTTAAGAATTGTCACCCACGAGTTCTGCAAGAAAAAAAAAACAAAAAAACCGGAAACGTATTTCGTTTATTTTTATTACATATTTAATATACAAAATAATGTTATTGTAATAAAGAAAATATATTTAAACCTACTTCTTAAAATGACAGAAGATTTGGTGAAAGTATGGTTAAGGAACTATATAGAATTGATAAAAAACTAAACTTCAACCATCTAGTTCAACACCATAACAGTTGATGAGTCCTGGTATTGGACGAAAGGCCTCGTCGGTACTGAATTAACAGATTTAGTGACATCTTAAAATGACAGTAGATATGGTGAAAGTATGGTTACGGAACTATATAAAATTGATAAAAAAAACTAAACTTCAACCATCTAGTTCAACACCATAACAGTTGATGAGTCCTGGTATTCGACGAAAGGCCTCGTCGGTACTGGATTAACAGATTTAATGACATTATTGTACATTTGTTCTTACTTTCACTGATAAGTTGTTTAAATTACGACTGTGTATAATGGTTACTCGCCATTACTGGGCAAACAACAAAAAAAGTGTATTTTTCATTGTTTTAAGGTAGTTCAGATTAAAGTCAGGTATTGAGGTAACAAATATGACGTTTCTTGATACATATGTTTCCACAAATTTTAGAAGTGTTTGACTGAAGGGGAGGCTTCAGCATCCCAAGCCTCCCCCTCCCCGTTGCGCACATAACCTAGTGGGTTAGGCAATTACACCCGCCCACTCAGATTTCCACTTTTTTCTAGTTTTTGTATACTAAACAAGCCAGTTACATAATTCTTTTGAGTATTGCCTCTTTCTACGTCTTCCGAGATAGGTGGCGCAACCAGCTCCTAAAGACATGTAAATAGTTCATTTCCATAATAATATTAATATCAAAGCTATGTGCCAAGTGACATGACAGTGAAACATAGAAAAAAAATCATTAATTAGCATTACAGAAGAAGCTATAAAAATTAAAAAATAACACATTTAGTGCAACAGCTGCTATACAGCACCAAACACAAACTGACAGTCACACTAACTTACAATACACTCAACTGGTACTGTATTATACGAGTACCACATATCCGTAAGGCATAAGTGATACTACGCATGCGTAATTTCCTGACCGTCATGAAATTTAATTACCAAGTGTTTCTACATAAATACCAAGCTTGTTTTGTTTGTTTAAAATACATCCCACATATATTGATGTTGCCTTAATCACGGGACATTTTTATGCAACCGAAACTGACACGGAGATTTTCGGTTCGGGCATACATCAAACTAATTAATATACAGCGTTCCCACAAAAGCCTAGTGTAGCAAAAAAAAGAGTCTTTAATAGAGTTTCCAACTATCACATATAAAGGTTCAAGACAAGCTTGTGGAATCGCCTAAAACCCCGATTACAACATCCGTTCAATTTATTTTTATGTATATCGTTGTAAGCTATATATATTTAATTTGTTTGTCAATTAGAAGGAGCTGGCTGGGGATTGTTGGTGATTTTAACGTTAAGTTGAAAAAGACAGATCTACGTTATTGATGTTAGGTGGAAAATGAATTATTTTAAGAGTGAATCTCTGTTAACTATCGCGCTATTTTGTACAAGTAAACAGATTTTATGTTGTACAGTACAGTTAGCGTGGCCGAAAACTCAGATCTACAAGTATATTATATGCGTTCGAGCTTGTAATAACATTAAAAGAAACATACTGTTTTCATTTAAGTGGACTGAACGTTGGATTATTTCCACCAGATAATTAAAAAGAACCACGTCATAATACAATATGGTTTTGTTATATGCTCACTACTAATTGTTAACTTGTTGATTTTGAGTTATTAAAAGTCACGTGCAGGAGGTGACCTTGAAAACTGTTTTATATCTTTTAATTAAGTCGTGCGGTTTTTTGGTAAATCCACGTTATTCCGAGTAAGAATGTACATTTCTAATGAAGATTGAAACAAACAATGTCGGACTCCTTTTTTGCTAACTCCGTACGAGTGGTTTCTTATAGCAAAGTCACATCGGACTATCTGCTGTGTCCATTGAGAGGAATCGAACCACTGATTTTAGCGTTGTAAGTCTGCGGGAGTCAACTCCGTACGATGCAAGCGAAATTATAACACATGATTAGAGCTTGAAACACACGGATAAACGTAAAGTGGGTAAAGACAACTAACGAATAAAATAAGTTTAATTTCGCTGTTTTTTTATTATATAACAAGTGGATATTTAAACTTAAGGACAATGTAAAACGAGTGTTACAAATAAGTTTTTCTCGGGCTTGTTTAAAGTTATTGTGACGAAAGGACGTTACACCTAATTGTTCACGTTTCTTGTCATTATGCCTAACAGGTTGTTCATGCTTATTGTGATGGTTGAACAGTTGTTCTTGTTGTAACAAATGGCTTATATAAATAGTTTTACGACCACTACTGTGTTTGTTGTGTCCCAGACAGCCTAATGAGCCCTGGATTGAGCGAAACGCGTCGTACGCAATGAACTGGCAAACATAATGTGGTTGGAATATTATTCTCATACACTTTTCTAATTCTTGAAAATCCCTAACGGACTGGATTAATAACGCAGTGTTTAAAAACATAATAGGCCTAATACTAATATTTTATGACAAGTATAGTTAACTATACCCAATCTTTCACGTTTCTGGCGATAGTTGAACGCTAGGCCTAGTCGTTCATGTTTTCTGTGATGGTTGGTATTGATAGTTCACCAAGCCTAACATTGCACACTTCTTAACACCACACAGTAGAAACCTTCTGGTATTGATAGTTCACTAAGCCTAATACTGCACACCACACAGTAGAAACCTTCTGGTATTGATAGTTCACTAAGCCTAATACTGCACACCACACAGTAGAAACCTTCTGGTATTGATAGTTCACTAAGCCTAATACTGCACAACACACAGTAGAAACCTTTAGGAATAATTACCAGAATGGTCGATTCAAGCAAATCGCTGATCGAATGAAGGCGATTTAAAGACTTGTGTAAAACTTGCAGTCCTACGCCAACATAGCAATTTAAAGTTATAAACAACATACAATCCAGAAATACAGTATATATATATATATATATATATATATAACTTTCTGAAAAATAAAGTATAAGAACAACAACAAAATTGAATATCGTCATTCCAAATAAATTTCAGAACTGTCCCTGGCTAATTACTTATAGCTTGGATATCAAATGAAACAAAAGTCTTCTAGCGAAGAGAATTCTTACAAATACTGTGACACAACAATAATAAAAAGTTCACAGATTTCAATAACTAAGCTGATGGGTGTGAAGCTTGTATGCTACGTTCTGGTGAGCTACGATGTTGTTAAAGACTACTCAAAGTATTTTTCATTGTGTATTTGTCAGGTAGTGTGAACCGTAAAACAAATAAACAGAGGTTAAGTTGATATTCTGAAACCCATACAAAGATATCAATACAGTTTTATAGCCACTTTCTTGTGAAAGTATGTTTAATACAAGATAAATAAAGTTGGAAAACAAATAAATCAAATTATAAATTAATCTTTAATCTGAACAATGCGGTTGTTGTCCATCATCATTTACGGTGTTCAGACTCGACATCCAAGAGGATGAATCGGCTACACCATAACACAGTGGCGACATCCAAGCGGATGAATCGGCTACACCATAACACAGTGGCGACATCCAAGCGGATGAATCGGACTACACCATAACACAGTGGCGACATCCAAGCGGATGAATCGGCTACACCATAACACAGTGGCGACATCCAAGCGGATGAATCGACTACACCATAACACAGTAGCATGTAGGGACTGATACGTCACAAATTAATCACATAAATCCAGTTAAGCCACAACCAACCACGTGTACTGACTGAGAATCCTCTAATCTAGCACAGACAAATCATCCGCCTATACCACAACGCAGCCACAGTGACTAATGATGATAAACCACCAATTTATCAGATGTTTAAACCACACAAACGTCACTTGTTGAGACTGGTAACCGCCCTCTTCCATAAATATAAATTAAATGGTCCAGTCACGTGCAGTGATTGATAAACCATCAATACGGCACAGATATAGGTGAATACGGTACATTGTCATCTTCTAAACGTTATCCTCAAGGCTGTACAAGAAAAGAAGTGGAACTCGTTGTACGTAACTGACACAAAAACTGCTAGAAAATTCTACAACAAGTTGATTTGGTTGTTCTTAAGCACAAAGCTACACAATGGGCTATCTGTGCTCTGCCCGCCACGTGATAATTTTTCTTAAATTTCGAACGGAGAGTGGACACTTACAATTATTGAGATGCACTTAACATGAATAACTTTCAGTGACAATAAGTATGTACCAACTGACGAAATTGGGGATAACATCTTGGGTGAATAATGTATGTATATAATAGCGGAACAAGCAAGACCAGTTACACTTCGGGGAGGGCGAAAGTAAATGAATTTTGTCACTATCCTTTTCTAAATCCCCCCCCCCCCCTGCATGTATAATATGCAAAATACTTTCCGTTTTACACCACACTGACGTCATTGCGTTAGTGAAAGATAGAAAGCTAATTAGGCCATTCGATAAGAGCCAAAAACTAAGACGAAAACTCTTTTGAAAAGCTTAAACTGAAGGCCTCTAACTTATGATACGTTAAAAGGAAAAACTAAAACATTCAACATCAGATCATCAATATTAACTTAAGATCAAAACACTTTACTTAAGTAAAAAAAAATCAAAATAAACCTGGTGATGAGTATAGCTATTCAAATATTGTTACGTCTCTGTTCGTTTGTTACTTTTCCGTAAAAATTCTTTCCGAAAAAAACTTTAGCGATACAAGTCCTTTCTTAAACAAAACTAGTTTATTCTTTCTCAATACAACTTTGCAATACACTTAATTTCCACAGTCACGCTATAACTTAAACAAATGCTATAGTTCACGAGCTCGACTCAAGTGTCCGTCTCTATCTCTGTCCGCAGTTCAATTACGTTGTTGCCGTCACTTCTTGGCGGCTTATATAAAAGACTACCGCATATCTAGTAAACACTCGAGACTTCACGAAGGGACACGAACGTTCTAGAAGCTCATGACGTGTTACCAGCGTCACGTGACTTCCGCTGTCGTAACAATATTATTACTCACAAAAATCGTTTAATTAGTTACCCATACACTCTCGCTGATAGTTACTTTCGGCCATAAAGATTGTAGCGATTAATTGTACGGAAAGATATAAGATTCTTTAGTAGTAGTTTAGTTTGTGTTGAAGTTCGCACAAACTATTCGAGGGCTATCTGCACTAGCCGTCCCTAATTTAGCAGTGATAGACTAGAGGGAAGGCAGCTGTCAACACCACCTACCACAAACTTTTGGGATACTCTTAACAGCGAATAATGGGATTGACCGTAACGTTATAATGCCCCTACAACTGAAATGGCGAGCTCTCCCAAAACAGCACACCATGTCAGACAACTCTTCAGTAACCTGTGTTTAACGTGTGTTGGTTTTTGAATTTAAAATAATCAAATCCAACGTTCGTTATAAACAAGGCAAACATCTGGCGACATCTATTTTGGTCTTCGTAGAGCAATATCAAATCATGATACACAACAATATCATAACTGTAATCGTATTAAAAAAAAATTGACGAGTCCATTCAATCCTGAAGGTCACCTTGAATTTTCTTAGAAACCTTTTAACAGCCGCCAAGGAGGCTTAGAGATAAGTATACTCGTACAAAGCAGGTATATCTTGGGCTTACACATTCTGAGGTTAACGACAGATAAAAAAATATTTTCTTTTAACTAAACATGAGCTACAACACACGCAGTCACGGTGAACTCTTGGTCGACGTATACAGCACGGTTTCGACAGAACAGTACTGATATTGTAACGTCTTTTCGACCAACTTACGACAAATTCCACGAGTTGGAGAATCCCTTTATAGACAGCGGACATTTAATACAATAAATTGAGGTATGTGCCAGCAGACACACGAGAGAAATAAAAGGGTAGTTCCACCTTTTACCTATGAAGGACTGGGACTACAGGATGGAAACATATTGGGAAGTCATAATTTATTAATTATGCAACTTACCAGAATTGGACTTTCCTTTTAAAGTTAGTTGTGAGCAGAAAAAAAATATCTTAGAGCATCATGTTGAACTTAAGTTGAGATTCATAGTAAGCGGGATAAACTTAATCGTTGGGTCGGGTGCGGCCCGTCAGTTGGACCATGCCGCTTTAGTGTGCTACGCCTATAGCTTTCAGCGTAGCGTGGCAATAAGGGATTGTGTAAGATTACCACTTCCCACTAACAATTTATCACTGTATGAAGTGGTTTATACAATGGATTAATGTTAAAATTCTTGACACAGTTTTTTAACGACTTCCTGGATCTCAGATTGTTTAGTGTCTAACCGGGGGGGGGGGGGCATGTAGATCTGGTCAACGTAAATAAAAACAGTGAGGGAGGAGAAAAGGACAAATATACGAACTATATTAATTTGTTTTTATAATTCCGATTATTTTTTGATAAATAATATTTTGGATTAATAATATATACACACACACACACAAAGTTTTAACTAAATTCATGGTGAAATTCACTCAGGTTAAAACAAACTTCTGAATTTACTTTAATCTGAGTAACTAAAAATCAAATAAATCTGACGAATATTCACTGTCTAAACAAGGGCTATACAGAGTGAAAGACGTTAACAATACAACAGGTAGATTTACTTTCGTTTCACTAAAAAACAATTATAAAATTAATAAATAAAATACACAAAATTTAATTTATACTTTATAGAATGACTTGTCACTGTGCAGAAAGTCTGTCTAACTGCACCAATTTCTGATCTTTGTCATAATTTACAAGAACGCCATAAAATTAAACAAAATACAACTTTTGATGGTGTGCAAGTTGGCATTTCACCTAGATATGATTATCAAGTTCGACTCTTTTATATCATCTTCGCAAGTTGTTAAAATATTAATAAGTTCATATTGTCAGAGAAACAGCAAACTTACCTTCGGTGAATTTTTTTTACTGGCCTTATTAAAGTCATACTTCCGGTTTCGTCGTAGCAGCCTCACTGCCATACTACCAAGCGTTTCCATGTGAAAACTTTAGGCCTAGTACTTTTCCAAACTCACGTGTAAAATACGCTGTTCTGAGAACAGCACAAAATCAAACAGATCCGTCATGTAGTTTCTAAGTGCCAGCACCAGACAGATTACCGTAGCAATAAAGTTAAAATTATATTTTCTTACTGACTGAATACGAAACCCCCTTTTACCGAATACATAATTTTATAAACTTATAATATTAATTAGTACATGAAATAGTTGGGAGGAGTTCAAGATCATCGACTTTTATTATAAAAGAACACACGCTTCTATCATCTCTTAAGTTAGTGAATGTGTGGAACGAAAACGGATCATGTGGCTTGTAGGTTAATTACGTCAAATACAGCGACCAATCACCTGACGGTCCAACTGCAGTAAATTACTGGTAGCGGTGTTCCACACGAAAAACAAACCTTGTTTCGAACAATGACAGTGAATAAATCTTGGGGCCAGTATGTGACATCCACTACATGGATATTATGGAGTTTTAATTTCTTAAAAGTTTAAGGATTGTAGAACAGCCTTAAGGCGTACCCAGTCAAATCTGGTGGTGGTGAAAAGGGGGGGGGGAGACAATATGTAATCAAAATATCTCAAGTATATACTTCACGCACGATCAACAACAAAGCATGCCAGCGCAGTAATAATATTAATACATATATTACTGTTCATTTTCAACCACGAGTTCAGGTATACTTTTTTATTATTATTATACGTAGCTTTAACATTTAAGTATAGCACCAACCATTAATTTATAAATACGTATTGCTGAGCATACTTTTTTAGCCGCGGCATAGTGGCTCATCATAGAATGGTTCCGAGTTTTGTTTTTTTCAAGTACAAACTTTTAGCCCATAGCTCCATCTCTTGAGCGTTTTGAGAACTCATTACAGCCGCGGCTATTGAGGATTCCCTCTTGTTTTTTTCCCCTAGATTTGTCTCTTTACCTAATCCTTCCTATTTAGCTGCACCGTTTACTTACTCTATTTATTAAGTCTTACTGGTTATGATGTTTAAAACGATTAAGAATAATTGTTTGAGATATTCTGTTAGCTTATTATACGGATTAAGTACTTAACTGAAGACTTTTATGGAACTGATGTAAATACTGTTAACATAGGAAACATCTAGCTTACAGTCACTTGATCTTTAAAAAAAAAGACGAGAAGTACGTGGAGCTACATATTCAGAAAGATGGGTGTAGCGATCTGTTGCAGGTGTATTCAAAGAGGTAAGTCACATTGTTGAAGTCAAAGCGAAGTATTTCAGCAAAGTCTTTGTTTACTGGCCATCAACTAGTGGTAGAACTATTATGAATAAAATAATTTAACTGTAAATAAATTAAAATGTTTAATATGTGTTTAAATGGGGTGAAGAGAATAATGCAGCACTCAACAACAGAACTTCTACAGCAAATCTTGGCTCTCTCTCTCAGTAACAAAAAAACAAACAAATTACTAATTTCGTCAAAAGTTAGGACTGAATCTGATCTGTAAGTACCAAAATTACATTTACAGTATACGTATATATTATCTCTGTAGCTGACCAATAAGAAAACGGGTGCCAGAATTCGGAAATATCTCTGTTACATTTGACAGTCTCGAGGCATCCCCATACACAAGTTCAAATAGAATACAATGAAACTATCCCATGAAACAGTTGGTAAGTTCCTTTAATGATAAAGCTACAAAAAAATAACAACTCCAGATGAATTTAGCTCATGACTTCAACTGGATTTATGGTTATCCAAATCATAACTAAAAAAATTCGTAGACAGAAAGTATATACTAGAAACGATTAAGGTATGTAGTATGTGCATACTACAACCTTCCTCTCTCTCTCTTACCTTAGGCTTGTCCTCAAGCCAATTTGAAATCCAATAAAAAAGTCACTATGCGATCTAATGAAATCACATCGAAACCTCAACCCTCAGTTAAACTGGACACTGACGTCACGAAAAAGCAATATAATTAACACTCTAAACAAACACCTTAGAGAGCCTCACATGTACGAATCACGACCTCAACCAATGTATAGTGCTGACTGTAACAGATAACAAGGCAAAATACAATAAAAACCCTTTAAAAATCAAAATACAACAAACAAACTACTTAGAATACATTTGACGAAACACAAAATATACACATAATATAAAGAACCCTTTAAAATCAAAATTACAATAAATGAAACTTTTAACATTTGAAATACAAAATTAATAAAGCAAACACATTATAAGAGAAACATAACATAAATAACCAATATGCTAGGAAATTAATCCTTTATTTACAGTAGAAAAAGGTAAGAAAAAACCTTTTTATAATATAAAAAACAACAACAAATTAATATAAAACAAACACGAGGTGTTAAAGGTATAGAAAAAAAATGTGGAAACATACAAAGAGTATAACTTCAAAGAACAGGAAACAACTACTAACCACGCTTGAAATAATAATATTAAAGAAAAGGAACCACTAAATAATTGTTTGTTTTGAATTTCGCGCAAAGCTACACGAGGGCTATCTGCGGTGCCGTCCCTAATTTAACAGTGTAAGACAGGGAAAGCAGCTAGTCATCACCACCCACCACCAACTCTTGGGCTACTCTTTCATTAACGAATAGTGGGATTGCCCGTCACATTATAACGCCCCACGGCTGAAAGGAGCGAGCCTGTTTGGTGTGATAGAGATTCGAACCCGTAACCCTCATATTGTGAGTCGAGCGCCCTAACCACCTGGCCATGCCGGGCCCCACTAAATAAAGTAACCAGAATTGAATTACAGGTTCAAATCAATTCACACGCTACCAATAATCAAACCAAAAATAATACGCCAAAATTACATGACAAAAAATATTACAAATGCAACTTATTTTTTTAAATTCACACACACACACACATATTGACGTATTTTAAATTATAAAGAAAATATTCCATTTTTAAATAAATTAAATATAACCCTTTTCAAATAGCACGTGAAATAAAAACCTTTTAAACAAATACGAAGCAAAAATAACGCTGTTTAGCTAAACATTCAACTCAGGGAACACCTTGTGTATCCACAAGCTTTCTTTTGAGCGGGTGCACTGTTTCATTGGCTGAATTTCTCAAGATGCTGAAATCGTTGGGTATAATTATAATGTCACAGATGAAAGCCAACTCATGACTCGACGCTTTCCAAACATTATAGTTCATAATAATTACAATTTAATACGTTCTTAAAAACACATTCATAGTCCATAACGAAAGAGCTTGATAAAATAATTTATTTTATTAAGCTTCATCTCATACAGCGCCATCTATTGAGAAGTAGAATTAGTATACCTATGTATCATAAAAATTGAGCTTCAAAGTTTGGGATCGGTGGAGATTCTTCATTTGCCCGAAATATTACTCACAACTTTTCTTAGATACGACTAATTTAAATTTGTTTTGATGTTATTTACATATTTTAGCATTCGTTAGATGCATTTGTTTGTTTCTTTTTTGCAAGTAAGATGGTGGTTAACAACTAGTGACTAAAGTAAAGGTTGAACACTAGAGGGCTCTCACGGTGAATCTATGACTGGTAGTAGAGAAAACTTCTTTGTTTTTAGAGCAAAGCCACGTTGGTCTATCTACTGTGTCCAACACAGAGAATCGAACCCCGGATTTTAACGTTGTAAGTCCGTATACTTACCGCTGCTCCACAAGAAGACCGTATAGAAAATAATACGTGAGAAAAAGTGTGAGCGGTTAGTGAACCTGCTGCGTGATAAATAAAGTGTATTTTTAATTCTATTGTATTCCATAAAGTCAACAGTGGTGAAAGGCGGTACTAACGAGGTCGAAAACTATACAGGGGCAACAGTCCGAGATTAATTAGTCTAAAAGTACTAGTCATTTTATACAGGAAACGATTAATTTATATTTGTGTCCATTTTTAGTCAGCAAAAGTTAAAGGGAGAAATATTACACGTAACTAACCCTAGGATTCTTCAGAGGCAAGTCTATAAAGGCTTATAACGCTAAAAACCAGATTTCGATACCCGTGGTGGGTATAGCACAGTGTAGCCCATTGTGTAGCTAGGTTTATAATCCAACATACTTAAAATTGCTTGTTTGTTTGAATTTCGCTCAAAGCTACACGAGGGCTATCTGCACTAGCCGTCCCTAATTTAGCAGTGTAAGACTAGAGGGGAGGCAGTTAATCGTCATCACCCACCGCTAACTCTTGGGCTACTCTTTCATCAATAAATAGTGGGATTGACAGTCACATTATAACGTGCCCCACGGCATATTTGGTGGGACAGGGATTCGAACCCGCGACCCTCAGATTACGAGTCGAGTGCCCTAACCACCTGGCCATGCCAGGCCTAAAATGCCTTGTTTGACACAGAAAAAAGTGCAAGATATCGTTGGTTACTCACATTACTTCATCACAGTTTTACCATCTTCACAGACGCCAGAAAGAACAAAATATATTTTCAATTCCTCAACAGTGCACATCGCTGTAAAGTTATTCAAGTTAAAATATATCATTTCATATGCTGATTAGAAGCTCTTTGAATCTTTTCAATGATCTTATCAACAGACAAAACACTATATTCTAGACAAGTCATCTCCGAAGAAAGAAGATACGTCAATGGCAGAACGTTCAGTTCGGCTTGATCTATCCACTTCAGAGCCACACATACACACGTCCTCATGCTACAGGAGAGGTCAGAACCTACATGAAGTGACCTTATTGAAAATCAAACACATGTACGGAATACATTTCGCTCGAATGACACTCCCCTCTGGACTATGGCTGTATTTACTGTTATTTTTGTTATGAAAATATATACAGTTTGTTGACTTTATTTATACAGTCGTCACAAAGCTAACAAAAACCAACGACCTTTGACTTCTTGTTACAAATACACCTCCACCAGATTTCGTCAAACTCTGTCATAAACGGTTTTTCTCTATTTGTTGAGAGAACAACATACATTCAAGGTGGTTAGCTAATCGTTGAAAAAGCAATAACAAGACTTAAAGTGACTTGGTCAAGAACATAGAATGATCAAGTGGAATGATTGAAACTTTACTGTAATTCTTTCATTAAACATGTCCACGCATTAGCTAAAGTACAAAATTCGAATCAGACACGATGAAATATATATATATATGAAAAAATCATTATGAATCATAACATTTCAATTGTGTTGTTGGGCTAACAAAATATACGATCGGAGTTTGTTTGTTTTTTTTGCCAACCTGTCTTATTATGTAAGAGTTAAGAAGACATTTCGGTGCATTAACGTGGACCTTATTAAACATTTAATTCTAACGCGAACCTTTTTAGGGTAACTTAATCGCGTTAAGAACGGATAAATGTCGTCTCACCAATTCAGGTTGTCCAAAAAATATTCATGAAG